TTTCATAAACTTACGGAATACGTGGTGTGTTATTAAATTGGTTTAAGAGTTTTTTAACTAACAGAAAACAATTTGTCTAAATTTAAGGTTGTACTTCGTCTGACTATACAAACAGTTGTACAATGTGGAGTGTTCACACTGTTAAATTTGGGCGTTTTCACACTGTGGTCGCGTCGTTTCACAATGTGGATAACCCAAGATTCACAGTGTGGTCACATTATGAATCCCTGGTTATCCACTGTGAACCACAATGTGAATCTGTGGTTAGTCACACTGTTAACCACACTGTAAAATGACACGACCACAATGTTAAAACGCCCGGAGTTAACATCGTGGAACACACTGGGATTCACAATGTGAAACACGGTGTGATTCACGCTGTCTTTCACATTGTGAATGAGTGTACAAGAGTGTGTTCTTTCCAGCAGGGTCAGCAAGAGACCCGCCGTGGCACTAACGACAAGACATTGATCTACATTGGCCACACTCAACCCAGGTGATGTAAATGGGTACCTCGATGGAATTAATCATTTGAAATACTAGAGCGCCGTAATGGCAGCACAGCTTTAAATAAGCCGGGGTAATAACCTCCAAGTTTGGAAGCGCTTTATAGTGGTTGTAATAAGTGCTATATAAAACCTGAGTATTATTATTATTATTATTATTATTATTATTATTATTATTAAATGATTATCGAAAAATGCTTTGAGATGATTCGATCTGCGTCCTTTATGAAGCATACAAAAGAGAAGACAAAACAAATGGAAAAAGGAGTGAAAGATAAAAGACATACGGGAAAAGAGACATAGAGAGTGTGTTCATTTAACTTTACATTGCAAAATGTTCCCACTTTTAAGGGGCAAGGGGTATATCCCTCCCGGCCGCGTTATCTTTTTATGCGGCACAGATTGGGGCTTTTTTTAAAAAGGGGTCTTGATTTACAGACTAATAGTGGTCGTGTGGTACTAGTAGTAGAGGTCTATTTTTAATAGTGTTACATGTAATCCACTACCGTATGGAAAATCATTACCTTAACAATTAAAATGCAATTGGAAATCTGAAGAGGAGGCAGCACGTCAATAAGGAGAACATCACAATAATTAGTCAATAAAACTTAATTAACTAAACGAAGAGGAATGTTATCTAAACAAATAGTTCGCGATGGATATTCAAACTTCTTCGCAGCGCTAATTCGCTAGCAAACATGCCAAGTCTCACGTACGTGCAGACACTATTCAGGAGGGAAAGAACGTACTTCCCATAGGCTCAACACGCACTATGCCCCAATCTGTGCCGCATACAAAAAAACGCCTCCCGGTATAGTAAATATGCCCCTCATATGTTTAGGATAAAATAATTCTTTTTGATGAATTTTGGATTGAGGTGACGTGACTAAAAAAACAAAAATAAAAATGCTTAACTAGTAGACTAAAGACTGGTGCCCCAATGATTAAATCCAAGCAACGCTACTGCCAGTCACGTTCTTTTTCTCCATGCCTTACAGAATTTCACCTTTGACATTTGTTTTGACATGTGTTTGATTCATATCCACTCTACTATAGCCCTTGATACCTCGATCCGCCAACAATCTCTGCCATCAGGTTCAAGGGTGGCATCGCCCACCACCATCTTCGTACTGGAACAGGACGATGAAAATTCCTCATGCATACATAAGGCTATAATAAAGGTGGAGGGCCTATTATGTGCGATTGAGGATTGAAACAGACGATGAAACACCTTTTAGTCGGTTTCCTTCTCCCAGAACCCTGTACCCCAGAGATAAAGAGAGTTTCTAAACCAATGCCAGATCCTGTTTCCTCCTTGTGTAGTGACTCGAGAAGAAGAATATTTTTCAAAGACATATCTATTTATTTAACTTTTTATTGTGTCATTTATTCAAATATGTATTTATTTATGTAATATATATTATATGTATGTAATTATATGTGTATTCATTCATCTATTTTTAATCTATTTATTGATCTTTTTTATTAATATAAAATATGCCATAAGTGTTTAAATTGCCAAAAGTGATTTGTGTCTTGGATTTTTGTTGTTATTTTGCACAATAATCGTCGTTTATCTAGAAAGTTGAAATATTCAAAAAATTAATTTTATTAATACCCTTCCTCGGAAGAAATCAGAGCTACATAATTTGTACAAATGAATAAGGGCCCTTACTCCTCTCTTCATAGCCTCGATAGGTTTCTGTGAGGAGCTGAACAACACGACGAGGGTAGGTGTAGGGAATTGGAGACCCTCAAGCACATTTGCATAATTTACATAAACATGAACAATGTTACACATGCAGAAAGTTTTGTATTCTCTTCAGTAAATTCTTCTCTTAATTTGGTAACAAATTGTGGTCATGATGTAACTGATTAATAAAATAACAATGGTTAATGACAATGTGGCCTACTTGGGATACTCCGAAAACCTGTTTTGTATACAAAGGTTTACAGTCTATATAAACCAGCTCGCCGATCTCACATTTTTATTTATATTGTCCAGAAACTTCTCATTCTATAATACATCCCAAGTTGGCTACCCAAAATTCAAATGTGCGTCTCAAGTTCTTTTTTTAAATTCATATATCAAATTGAAATTCAACTACATTGTACCACATACATCTGTGAATCTTGATGTACACCCCCTCTTTCTTTTTTCTTTCTTTCTCTCTCTCTCTCTCTCTTTCCCCTTTTACGAATATTTGTTCCACCATATTCGTATTATTATGTATCCATTGAGGGTAGTCATGCTATCAAGCTTTACTTACTTTGTCAAACCTCCTGTTTGATGTTTTCGATTAGTTACTTTATTCGACATTATATTCTTTTGAAATGTACAATTTGTAATGTTTTGTTTGACATATATTTGTAATAGGGCATAAGAAAAAGAAAATCAAACAGAAATAAATAAATCAAATGTGGCCCAAAATATTTCTGCACATGCACAATTAACCAACCATCATCCGGTCATTGACTGTCCTCGACATACTCGACATTCACAACAAACTACCCCATCTTGGACCTGGTGTCCCCATTGCCTGCACACATTTCTGATCAGACACCATTCATAATGTGCATTGCAACACCCATTCACAACACACAATTGCCATAAGTTTTCTGTGATGGTTGGCACACTTCATAAACCTCCTTTTAAAACTACGTGTTAAGAGCCACCTCTAAATATCTGCATACACCACAACATTCAGTGAAAATTGTGTTTTTATATCAAAGCAAATTTTACGATCAAAATTGCTTACCTTGGTCAATTTTCTCGGAGAAAGAACGCATTTTAGTCTTAGAAATGAATTTGATATATGCAGTAGTGTTGTTAAAGGCCACACATGGCTCTTTTTGGTATTGGTATTGGTATTTATTTTCCATCACAATATTAAAAACAATACAAAGAAAATGCATGAACATAGTAAAAATCAATAATATAGTGAATGGCTGGATAGCCCATTCAGCTTTGTTAATATAACAAAGCTGTTCTTCCTTGGGGTCCAGGAATTAAGATATAAACAGTTATTATACAACAATACAACATAAAATAATATAACTTAAATACATATAAAACCTAAAACATATCAGAGAAGCATAAACACCCCCCCCCATCCCAAGCATGTTCCATTACAGGTCAGAGCAGAACTGATTTCTTAAATTTAGATATTTGCAAAAAGTTTTTAAATTGTTGGATAGCTTAATACTTAACGGTAGGGCATTGTACTCACGCGATCCTTTATACACAAACATTTTACGGCAGCATTCACTTTTTGGTTTGGGGAGTTTAATATTTCCTTGTGATCGTAGAGAATATGGATAGTTACAGTATTTGAAAGACTCTTCTAAATAAGGAGGAGCCAAATTGTTCAGGGATTTATAGACCATTATATTTAAATGCAATTTACGTCTTGAATGGAGAGATTTCCACCCTAATTTAACATGAATATCGTTATTTGAAACATGGTTATAAGGATTAATTTTCAAAATGATACGACCGGCTCTGTTTTGTAATTTTTGGAGGCGGTCAGTGTGTTTCTTGCTCGCCGAATCATAAACAATATCTGCATAATCGAAAAGTGGAAGAATAATTGAATTATATACCATCTTCAGATAGGATTCCGAAATAAAATGTCGAAGACGAGCATATTGAAGCCAACAAGGACAAACAGTGATGTGTTCAAGCTTGGTGGTCTCCAATTCTCTGCGGTCTCTAATTCCCTACACCTACCCTAGTGGTTTATGGGATTCGGCGATCACGTAGTTTGGTTCTATCGTTCAACTTACTTGTGTGCATGGATACAGTCTGAACGGTAAGGGAACCCTGCAATGTGTGCCGGGATTTACACCATATTATCCCATATGGAACGACTCACTCTCTACGTGCGAAATGATTGAAGGTAAAATAAAAGAACGACAGCCAAGACTTGTTATTATAGCAAAATGCCATAATCATCGTTCATTTGAAATGTGAAAAAGTTCACAAAATATATTCCATTTAATAGCACCCTTCCTCCGAGGAATTTCTCACAATATTCAGATATCATACCTCTCTTTTATAGCTTTTATATGTTTCTGCGAGGAGCTAAACGACACGACTGGTGGATCTTGGGATTCTAAGATCACGTGGTTTGGTTCTATCGTTCATCTTACATGTACGGATGGATACATTATGAAAGGCAATGGAATCCTGCAGTGTGTGCCGGGGTCATCACCATTGAATCCTGTGTGGAGCGATTCACTCTCTACGTGTGAAATAATTGAAGGTAAAATAAAAGAATCAATACCGGGAATTCATGTTAATAAACTCATATGACAAAATTACTCCTTTATATAGCAACATTTCATCATTCACTATTCAATTCATGTCCATATATATGTTTGTGTGTATGTGTGTGTGTGTGTGTGTGTGTGCGTATATTATAAATATATTTATATATTTGTATTTATATAGTTAAAGTTTATCACCTAATATTTTTTTTTAACTGTAGGATCAACGCATAGTTATCGTACTACGGAAATACAGGAAGGTAACAACTATTGATACACTTTTATCGTTTACTTTTTATTGCACGTTATAATCAATTTTGTGCTTATAGATGCCTTTGAATAATTTTAGCACTGCTTTGATTCAAATTATGACCTCGAAACGAAGAGAAACAGCTGCATATTGAAAGGAACTGTTAATGATATCAACACATTCCAAAAATGTAATTATGTATATTTTACGAGGCATATCATGTCTAAAGCAACCATAGTCAATGATGGTCTTCTTCTAATTCTCGTTTGAATTGGTAGTTTGAGATTTTCTGGTTCGTTTATCTGTAGCCTCACGTCGGCTTTACAAGTATGTTCTAATTCGTTTAAACATAATCCTGATATTAGCTATACATATTACAAAATATTCGAAGCAATGGGGTTTTCAACCGGACTTTCACTTCCTTGTTTCAAAATATTGTTCAGTCGAAGAACAGTATTTAGCAGCCTTTTAGCTTCGTGTGAAACCGAAACAATTTTAAATACTTTTTCTTTTTCTGTTGACACGGCATCTCGACCTCGTGTTTAAGAGTGCTGTCAATTTCAAACGTATTATATATATATATATATATATATATATATATATATATATCTGTCAATAGCTAAACGATAAAAAAAAAGAACGAAAACGAAACCCTGCAATTTCGTAAGCACTAGAGCTCCAGCTCGTTGAGCCCACTCAGCAGACATGAACTTGAAGGCTTCAACTTAGTCGAATTGCGGTACAATTTCTTTTCTTTCGTGCTTCCATTATTCCGCCAAGGGTGAATTCTTGTTTTTTAACTGTAAATCCTGCCCAATGAGAGACCAAATTGTTGTTAGGCGTGTATGTGGCAAGGATAAGAGGCCCATTATAATTCCTAAGTAGGAGTTTGAAGAAGAGAAAAACAGCGTCTGTATTTAACTTCGCAGCAAGTACAGTCGGTCCCTCTCCTACATAAAGACTATTCATTATTTTTTGTCTCAAGACATAGAAACGCGAATGATACATTTCTTTTTAAATCACAAGTGTTTGTTGTTGAAGAAAGTTCATAACATTCTACCAACCTTAACATTGAGTAGGCGTTCGTCCGTCCCTGTGGACTTTCTCAAGCCAAGTGATTCTTCACAGAGTTTCCTGGTGTCTATTCACTATTCTTTAACATTCTTGATTGGACTTTAAAAGTGATTTTGTTCTTGCTCATTTAAAAAACATGGAGGGAATGTATTAATTAGCATGCAGTTCTGAATTAAAAATGCTACGAATGTTCACAAAATGTGCGAAAGCGTTCACTCACTGAATATAGAATTGATCTTGAGTTAACTACGTCAGATTGTTTTATTCCGCAAATAAGTTAAAAATGAACTACGCCTTATGGTTTCCCCTCCCCTATCGCTGAAAAAGAAACGTATTTTACTGAATTAAACTTATATGAAATAACCGTCTGATATAAATAAATGTTTCCCTTTCTTTATTTTTATTCAAGACTATGCTTCCACTTCGACCTTTTTTGCAGAGATTTCCACCCAGTCCTTCAACGGTAAATATTACAATGATTCTCATATTTTTCTGTTATTGTCATATAGTTTGGCGAGCTGCCAATCGACTAAAATTATTTTGTATCCTCCATCTGATGATATGAATAGGATTAAATTTAAACTTGAGAGTAGACAGTTAAAGTAAATATAAACAATAAGCGTGATAAGGAGAAAGTGAAAGTTAAAGAAAAAAAAGCTCTCAAGGTCTCTTGAATTTTTTTAAACATTACTCAATGAAACCAAAAGTAATCAATCAATGACAACTGTCCTCTTCATCAATCAAGCCCATTTTGAACAATGACCAACACAACTTATTCATTTCACTTTCTTATGACGATATATATATATATGTTTACCTTACAACATTATAAGACGGATATATGTTGTGAAAATGTGTCCTGTTAACGATTGAACGAAAGAAGTGCTGCTCTCTACGTACTATTGCAAGCAGGGGAAACCTAAAGGCCCCTCCCCCAAGAAACAATTGGTTTAATCATTAGTCATTAGTTTAATTAGTAATATTTTTTTTAAATTAAGGGTTAGGGTTAGGGTCAGGGTCAGGGTTAGGGTTAATATACCAGTTTTTATGATGTCCGGTTAATGTACCATGTAGGGTTAAATAAACTGTATTCCTGTTAATTTAACTAGTTGGTATATGAATATATATATATATATATAAACACGCGTGTGTGTGTATGTGCGTGTGTGTGTGTGTGTGTGTGTGCGCGTGCGTGTGTGTGTGTCAGTGGGTTTGAGTAGATGGTTCATATATTTTCCTCTTCTCTGTTGACCTTCCGCTTTCTGCGAATCATCATCACTATTTATTGACCATTTCATGTATGATTAGAACATCGATTCCAGCAGTGGTAAAGACGAATAATGAATAATTATCTATTTCATCACCAGTAAATGCTCTTATTGTCTGACACCCTATCAATTTGCTTCCTCACACAAGGATGCGTGTCCTTCACCAGTATTTTCAACAAAGCCCCTTTGAATAAAAAGCCCCAAAAAGGGAGCGTGTGATATGGACCCAGAAATTGTTCATGCATTAAAATCAAATTTGTTTGTAAATTTGTATAAATATATTAACCAAATTATATAAGGGAGAATTAACTTTCAATTATGTGCTGTAACTTGCTCAGAAGAAATATTTTAAGCTTCAAATCTCAACTTCATTTAATAAGTTATTCATCTGGCTCCTGATTCATGAATTTTCCCTTGGTGCACGAATCGATAAAATCACATTTAGCCTCGTTAAACAATATTACATTTACTTAACAGATCATGAAACAACAATTATGACCGACGGATATAACAACGAAGGAAATGGTAACTATCTGAATATTACGAAAAGATTAAATAATTTCATTAATGGCTTCATAATTCTAATGTAGATATTCAAAGAACAAAAAACATGGCTATTTATTATCATAAATAGGTCTTACAGTTCCCTTCATTTTATATGGATATAAATATAGTTGGATCCCCAGCGCGTGTGAATTGAATTATCGTAGGAAGATTTTTCAAGTTTTGGCCATATTGCTTGATATATGATATATATTGATCTATGATTCTTACTTTATAGATATTCTCGCCATTGTTTGTTTTTAACCTATCGATCCTTTATCTCTCATTATTAATTATTTACACAAAAAATATACACATACTTCAAAATAAAATTATACATACCGTAAATGCATTTTAAATTATTGCAATGATCTTACTGGTTTTACATAGTGACACGTGCTTAGGGCGCATTTTATTGAAATTGCTTATTTTCTATCCTAATGCATTATTAAATTGTTTTTTTTTGTTGTTGTTCAATTACAATTGTTGTATCAATCCCAGATGATTGTACCTACATCTTATTACCAATACTGATCGGATCGACAGCGGTCTTATTTCTGGTTCTTCTTGCCGTGACGATTTGCTGGATCATCCCTCAGATTTGGAAGCACTTTTCAAGCAAACTTGGGAGTGATTCACAGGTAGGTTAGGGTCCTAAGGCAACAAAGGAACCCCAAAATCATTATTTTTTAGAGAAGGAATGACATATGGAAATACCGGGGAACCATTTGTAGATATGCTCAAGGCGCCTGCAAAAAAAAATCTATTAAAAGTTCCAATATTAATCGATTAAAGTATATAACAAAAACATGGCAAACGTTATTGTAAACAGCAAGCTTAAGGTGGGTCCTAAGTATGGCTCTGAAAGTTTGAAGAGAAAAGGGTATTTTATTCCCGTATAGATGGGACTGCTGATGCAAATCCCTGATATTTTTAGATAAATTAAGCCAGAAGGACATATGGAATAGGGTGTTAGAAGAGACGAAATATACTCTGGAGCCAGGTCATATTGTGCGCGATATGTATTTTGTACATTGTACGCTGTTAAGCAGGGAGCCAGTAAAGAGAGTTTTAGGATGGTATTGTATGTCTATAAAATTATTCGTTTCTTTCATTTCTTAGGACGGTTCAGTTTTTTCATTTCGTATCCATGACCAACTCTTATTGATTTAATTATTCCTGCCACACTTTTGTTGGTAGGCCTATGTTTTGGGCAAGGTTGTTATATTACCCTCATGCCATATCAATTACCAGTTTGAAAATAACAAATAATTTGAAAACCAATTTCTTTCCAGATAATCCACACATACTTGGACATGAGAGGTCGCAGTCCCCACGATGAAGAAAACGTGTCGGTAACGTCACCTATAGGCGGCGCCATGTCACCAGCTCTGACAAGGACTCATCCGCATGATACGGTAGGACAATTAGGTGAAAACGCGTCGAAAACCGATCGTGATACAATAATCTACGAGACCATTCCTTCAAGCAGTAATGACAGCAATGAAAGACACATTTGGGACACTGACATTGACGATTTTGGCTATGTTCTCCCGAATCCCCCGACCAATTTGAAAGAAAATGTTACATTATTGCATGAAGAAGACGAGCTCACTGGCATCAGCTGTAGAACTTTGCAGGATGAAGAAGGATACCTTATTCTGACAATGTGAATGTATGCTTGTCTATTATTGACAACCATTTATTCTGGACCTGTATATATCTTTGTAAAAAATATATTTGTCTTGTCATTTGTATGTATAAATATGTTGTTTTATGGAGAGAAAAAGCCGAACCAAACCAAAACAAAACTGAATAACCGCCTTTAGAACCAATTAATTGGAATGGAAGTAATAACAGTAATTTCAAATTAAAATAAAACAGTTTTCAAAACAGATTTCGGCCAGTTGGTCTTTTTATACATTCATTTACCATCTTATCTATTTCCTTTTATTTAAAGGAACACGTTTCTTTTTATTTTCACGTAAACATTTTGTAGCAGCTTACATGATGATAATTGTTTAAACATATGTGTAGGACTATGTTTACATGCATATGTATATATATTAGGACCTTTTCTTTTTACTTTTCCATCGTCTTTGAGTTTTCATTTTAAATGATAATTTGTGAAGAATTATCATTGAAAGGCATATATATTGAAAAGGGGGAAGTGTGAAATTGTGTCGCAGCCAAACACTCGTTACTAAGATTACAGTTTAACAAAAATGTACAGAACAATGGTTTTTATTACTTATTCACAAATATAATCAGGAGTGGTCCTGATATTATCTTAGAATGATTGCGTCGATTGAAGTTGGGATATTGTATTAGAGGTAGCATTGGACCATATCATCTCGATATTGAAACACAAATCTAAGAAGCATGTTTTGATTTGTGTTTGATATAAATACAATTATCCCGAAAAGTTGTCATCATGTCGTGGGGATTAACGCAATCATTGTAGAATAGATGTTGTAAGACGGTCGAATGAATATATTTCAGGTAAATTCGAATTTTATATTTCACTTTCTTGTTGCTGTTTGGCTATTTGTTTGAGAAGTAGTAAATGATAAGTTAAATTACTGATTCATGATTTACTGACATTTGTTAGTTATTACTCATTTGTTTTTAAATTGTATGAAGAAAAAAAAATTATCTATGTAAAAAAGGACTTGAGGTATGGAACGATATACATGAACTTATATCACACAAGCCTTTACCACTGTTCTTTGGATTAAAATTGAAAAAAGTAAAATAATCTAAATCAAACTTTATTTCAGGATTTGTCGATACGTAAAACGAATTTCTTTATCATTCGAACAATATCAGTTCACTACAATTTAAATGTATTAGTAATTGGTTAAGGTGATGAAAGGTAGTAGGGATGTTCATAAAACATCAAGTACCTTGGCATTCTAATGCCAAATTGTGTTATACGTGCCGTCATGCATGCAGTTCAGCTGCATGAAACTTATGCGGTACTCTTCATTATCCTCTTCTCTGTCTATTTTCTCTCTCTCTCTCCCTTCCATCGTCTTTCTATTTTTTCCTTTTCACTATAATTTAATTTAATTTTGTTTAAAAAATTCAATCACAATAATCACAAGTTCCTTCATGCGCCATCTTTCCTCTATGAGTCATACTAATATGTTTTAAAAAAAATGATATACATGTTTATATTTGATTACCCTGTTAAATATCAAGAGAAAATTACTGGATGAAATAAAAAATTCAAATAAACATGTTGTCGTATTTTGGGCTTCATTTATCGCTTGTTTAATAATTAAATGTCTTTTTTTTCTTCTCATTTTTATTTCCATAATTTCAATACATATTTACATTAATAACTCAATGATTGAGTGAAACATAACATAAGCTTATTATTGTTTGTATCTTTGCATATTTTGATAGACAAATAATTACATCACAACAGCAACAAACTTAAAAAATATTACCCTAATTTGAACTCCAACAATTTCGTCCTGTCTTGTGGTTAGTATTTTCTACAAGAACCTTTGTTGAATTATAGGCTCTGAGAAGTAGATAATATTAGGTTGTCGTTGACATTTGGCTCATTTGAGAATTGGTTGAAGGTTGGGTACGAGCATGCATGTACGTGTATTACTGTTTGCAACTAAATGCAACAAGGATGAAAACCTATAGAGACAACAAACAATTCAATTTATTATTTATCACTAAAATTGATCTATGCTGTTCATCGGCATCTAGTATCTACAATTTCTCTCCTTGTAAGGCGTATGTCTTGCACTTTAGTACCGAATTATCATTAAATACCTATGATAAGCAAAAATTCAATATCTTCTGTAGAAAGATGTTCAGCATTTTTTTGTGTGACTCTAGCCAGAAAGAAAGTTTTTTTTAATTCTTAATTGAAATGATCCATTTTATAAGATACCAATTTCATCCAATCTCTGTAAGATTGAACAGGTGTTACAAAACAGGGGAAGGTGTAGAAAAGTTGACACCTTTGATGTCCTTTGGAGGAGTTCTGTTTAAATGGAAAAGTAAATACTATAGACGTTTGCATAATTCACACTCATCAACACCAGGATATAAATATTATTTGTAAAGGTGTTGAATAATCAATAGGTAATAGTGGCAGATTAAAAATGTATTATCTAAAATTAGCTGATTAAAAGATACGGACTTTTTACAAACATTAAACCTGATACCGCATCTGAATGTACAACAAACTTAAAGCACTATTTGAAATATTCTTGTAGTTATGTTCGTATATTAAACACATATTTGTATACACACGGTAAATTCAGTTGGGCAACCACTGGTTGGCTAAATATTAATAAATGTTAAGGTTATTTTTAACCAATTTAGCTAAAGAGAGCTTGACCAGTTTGTTCCGATTATCTTTACATTATAATTGGGCATATAAATTTGTACCAACAGTACTTGCTACTATTGGGTTAAAATGCTGCCCAATATTAACATTCCATGTCATCAAGTTGGGTACAGTCTGATGGACAAGTAATAGTTGGTCAAAAATACCAGTGAGTAAATCTTAAAGTTTACCCAATATGATGCAAGGAAAACCTATACCCAGACATTGGATAAAGATTGTATTAGAAGTTGCAGGTCGAACAGCCAAAATGCAAATATCAGTGGTAAATGTTTTGGCCTCAGGAAATTTAACATAACGTATATTGCCCAAATGTTTTACCGGGTAAGGCACTGTTTTTTTAAAAACTATGACCAAATAGCTAAATGGCCCTTTGAGAGCCTGAAACTTTACAAAGATAAAGAATTAGAAATCAGTTACAACTTTTTCTTGTAGCATGGACCTAGGTTAACCTCCCATAGCTAAACAAAAAAATGTCATCGTTGCTTTATGCGCATGAGGTATCCCTGAACAGCAAATTGTTTACGGAATTTCGTAACAAAATTGACTTGCCATTTTGGTCGGAGCTGAAAAAAATATATAGCCACAAACAATATGTCTATTGATGATTAATGAGCATGAGTGGATCTTAAAGAAACTTAACAGTAATCTAAATTAGTTTAGTTCGTTTATTAGTTTATTAGTTGCTCCAAGTGATTATATTTAAAGAAAATATAATTTCATTGTAGTAACGCTTAAATTAGAAATATACTCAAAATTTGAAAAAGTCGTCTCATTTTCCGTAAACAATAAACGTCCGAAACAATTTTCAAGTTGAAGTAGCAGAAAATATATGAACAGCAGGATATATCTATCATAACATTTTGTTAACATTTCATGGCAGCTACCCACCAAAACAAAGAAATTTGCAATACATTACTACAATACTATTTTATAGTTAAAACCAATTTTCCGTTAACAGTTGTAACAGTTGTAAACAAATGTAACGTCCGAAACAAAAAATACCAATAAAATGATAATAATCCATATTTTAAGGTATCTAGAGTGAATAAATCATTATGAAATAAGTTATTATAAATCTTAACACAAGTCAAAACACAAATCAGGTCTTTCAAATCCATTAATTTTTTGTAATCACAAGAAAGGTGTTTCGGACGTTACACAATTTTATTGTTAAAGGTATTACAAAGTTTTGGTAAAAATATTTAATTCATCTGAAACTCTTTGATGTTATAACAAGATGCTATAGGAATATCTTTGACCAATCTCCCCCGCTGAAATACTTTTTTTTTTTGTAGTGAATTAAACAGTAATTAATAAATCAATTATTAGTTCCAAGCTGCCTGTATTTAAACCAGCTCATGTTGTTGTATACTAGCGCCATCTACTGTTGTAAATGGTTCATGGTATAATCGATATTGAAAATGGGCTTTCGCCCCGCCTCGGCGCAAGCCGCATGGACAACAGCAATTTCGACACCGTGCTGACCCCGCTCCACAGCGGGAAAGCCACTGCATTCGCATGGCTAAGGTCCACGGTCTCTTTTAGAGCTCAATGGTTCCAGCATCTGTGTGCGTTTGTGTGAGAGCAAGTACCGTTCAGGATTGTATCGCACAAATCAATAGAGTTATAATCTCCTTGCAGAGTGAGTAACCTATGGTTTGACGTACCCGTAAACCCTCCTCCGCAACCGTCTCAATCTAGTCTCAGCTTCGACTGATCAGTCATTTTGATATACATTTATAACAAACAATTTCAATATGCTACGGAATACATGAAGTCTTATCATTTTTTCCAATTATTATGTCCGTGAAATGCATTCCGATCAGAAAGAAAGCAATTTGAAAATGAATGACCACACAATCGTTCAGATAAACATGAAAGAAATACAATAAATATGTCTATCCATATACCGCTCTCTCTCTCTCTCTCTTTCCTACAGAAGTTCGTTGTAATGTTCATCATACCCTTGGAAGTTTCGAAAATAATCATTTTCACCACATAGACCCTCTCTATGGTGGCCCTGAAGGGACATCGCGAATAGATTAAATCGTGAAAAATATGCGATAAAATTCACGATATCGTCAATTTTATCGCATATTTTTCACGAAGAAATTCACGAAATTGACGATATCGTGAACTTTATCGTGAACTTTTCACGATGAAATTGACGATATCGTGAATTTTATCGTGAAAAGTTCACGATATAAAGTTCACGATATCATCAATTTTATCGTGTACTCTATTGTGTACTCTCCTGACGGGCGCTTCGTAAACAAAACCAGCCCTAGCTGGGGGAGACAGAGAGAAGGAAAAAAGGTAAAGGGAAAGAGAAGATAAAAGGAAAGAAAGAATAATAAGAAGAAAAGAGGGAAACGGGGGGGGGGGGGGCGAAGGGCTCTTGCCTCCTCCTCACTCCCCCCTCCCCGCCAAAAAATAAATCGGAGAGAGAGAGAGAAGGGAAAGGCGGGAAAGGGAAAGAGAAGATAAAAGGAAAGAAAGAAGAGGAAGAAGAAGAAAAGAGGAAAACGGGGGAAGGGCGAAGGACTCTTGCCCCCCTCCCCCCCCCCCCCGCCAAAAAAATAAATCAGAGAGAGAGAGAGAGAAGGGAAAGGGAAAGGGAAAGAGAAGATAAAAGGAAAGAAAGAAGAGGAAGAAGAAGAAAAGAGGGAAACGGGGGCAAAGGGCTTTTGCCTCGTCCCCCCGCCCCCCGCCAAAAAATAAATAAGAGAGAGAGAGAAGGAAAGGGAAAGAGAAGAAAGAAAGAGAAAAACGAAAAAGAGGGAGAATAGGAAAGAAAGGAAAAGAAAGAAAAGAAAGGAGGCAAGAGCCCTTCGTCCCTGTTTCCCTCTTTTCTTATTCTTTTTCCTCTTCTTTCTTTCCTTTTATATTTTCTTTCCCTCTCCCTTCTCTTTCCCTTTATGGCGGGAGGGGGGAGGGGGAGGTAAGAGCCTTTCGCCCTTCCCCCGTTTCCCTCTTTCCGTCTTCTTCTTCTTTCTTTCCTTTTATATTTTCTTTCCCTTTCCCTTTCCCTTCTCTCTATCTCTCTCTCTCTCTCTCCTATTTATTTGTTGGCGCGGGAGGGGGGAGGAGGCAAGAGCCCCTCTTTTCTTCTTATTCTTCTTCCTTTCCTTTTTTATTCTCTTTCCCTTTCCCTTCTCTCTCTCTCTCTCTCTTATTTATTTTTTGGGCGGGGGATGCAAGAGCCCTTCGCCCCCGTTTCCCTCTTTTCTTCTTCTTCTTCCTCTTCTTTCTTTCCTTTTATCTTCTCTTTCCCTTTCCCTTTCCCTTCTCTCGCTATCTCTTATTTATTTTTTTGGCGGGGGGTGGGGAGGGAGGAGGCAAGAGCCCTTCGCCCTTCCCCCGTTTCCCTCTTTCCTTCTTATTCCTCTTCTTTCTTTCCTTTTATATTTTCTTTCCCTTTCCCTTCTCTCTCTTATTTATATTTGGCGGGGGGGGGGGGAGGAGGCAAGAGCCCTTCGCCCTTCCCCTGTTTCCCTCTTATTCCTCTTCTTTCTTTCCCTTTCCCTTCTCTCTCTCTCTCTCTCTTATTTATTTTTTTGGCGGGGGGGGGGGGGGGGGAGGTAAGAGCCTTTCGCCCTTCCCCCGTTTCCCTCTTTCCTTCTTCCTCTTCTTTCTTTCCTTT